TAGTACCTTTGCCGCGTGGGAAAATAGTGGGCCTCGGGTGGGCCTCCGACCTTTTCGGATGGCCGAAACGAAACGACCGCCGCCGATCAGATTTATCAATGGCAGCCGTCGTTGGGCCCGGTCTCCGAATTTTCAGGAGTTTGGGAAAACTGCCAGTTTTCCCTAATTTCCCAACACTGGGCGAGGTACTAGTGGTTTAACGGGTCCACTAATATTCAACATTTATATAGGTGTTAAAGTTTTGAACACCACCTTCTCTAAACGAAACAAAATAGAGGGGACGAGGTTTCAGATTTTTCAGCATGTTCACCACTTCAAAGTTTTCAAAATCTTCAACGTTCATATGCTTCTAGATTATCAAAATTCTTAAAATTTTTGTAGTGGTGAAGATGCTTAAAATTATGAACACCCTTCCTTAAAGAAAATGAAACAGCGCGAGGGCGGGGGAAGTTCAAAATTTCCACCATCTTCACCACTCCAAAATTTTTAGCATCTTCAACACCAATATGCACTTAGACACCGAGACGGGGGTGTTCAAAATCTTCAACACATTCACCACTTCAAAGTTTTCTAAATCTCCAATGACAATATGCATTCGAACACAGGGGGACATTTGGAATATTCAACATCTTCACCACGTCAAAATTTTCAGAATGTTCAACAGTTATCCAAAGGTGGGATATTCAACATTTTCAATCAATGAGTTATTTCCACTTCATGGTTTCTTTCAGCGAAGACTCAGTGAGCGGTTAACGGGTAGCTGAAATTTCATAAATGAAAATTATGAAGTGAGAGTTTAGGCAGTCTAAAAATCCTGAATGGTCCTGAAGTGGTGAAGGGTCCGAAGACCTTGAAAACCATATGTTTAGGCAGGCTACATCCTGAAGTGGTGAAGGGGTCTATGAAGTGGTGATGAAAAATACGACTGTTGTTAACCTTCTCTCGTTGTTGACCACTTGTGTATGGGGCTAAACTACAGGTCATCCTTCCTAAGCGAAGCAACCCATGCTGTCAAGGATCCTTGGGGTAGCAATGTGGGCAGGCGTCTTTAGCGCGTGAATATGTATTTTTAATTTGTTGGTGGAGTACGAACTCGCTCCCCAAAATGAAACGGACCCAAGCCGAGCAGAACTTGTTTACAAAGAAAGAAAAAAAGAAAAGGAATGGAACGACTGGATGGTACACAAGCAGGCAAATGCTGACAAAACCCTTCCACACTAAAACAGTTTTAGCAAAAAGAAAGGAAAGTTGGTTGATGGACAAGTCATCAAACTATCTTCTTCCCCCGAACATAATGCACACTCATTTTGGTTGCACCAGACCAGAAAGATAGTTTTCATACATTTCTTATCAGGGTGCGTTGTGTTCGAGGAAAAAGGTAGTTACCAAACGCACAAAGCACAATTCTGAGTATCGGGGTACTACTTATTGTAGGATGTGAAAACACCCAATCCCATTCCGCCTTTAATCCGTGAAATCTTCTTCATGCCATATGTACTCTATCATTTTGGGAGATGCATTTCAAGCTGGGAAGGTAGAAAAAACCCACAAACATGAGTGATTGACTCTATATTGCCAGCAACATATGCCTACCAATCGGCGGAAAGCATTTGCACATATGACTTGTAGACATGTACTCCGAGCACAGAAAATCATGACACAAAACAGAGGAGCATTGAAAAGATAGTCACCAACTCTCTCCATTTCCTGCGGCAAGCAGTTTTTTTTTTTTTTTAGGGTGACATCCTTGATCAAGGTATCATTGTCAAACAGTCCGGCACACTGGTTATTTTACTTATATGATTCCATCAGGATTCAAACTCAGGTTTGTTTATCAACAGATCATGGGTGTACCATTCAGCCACACCCGGGGCTTGGTCTGCAAGGAGTTTCAGCATCAAACAGACAGACACACTGGTAATTTAAAGTCATGTTGCTTATCTGATTCCAGCACGATTCGAACTCAGATCTGTTTATCAACAGATCATGGGTGTACCATTCAGCCACACCTACGGCTTGGTCTGCAAACAGTTTTAGTCTGCATGGGTGGGTGTGCTCAGAGCACAGAAAACAAGAAAAGTTGATATCATCTGGAAATTTTTGTTTATACGTTGTATTTAAGGTAAGCAAAAATTTCCAAATAAAACACAGATGTGAATTGAAAAGGGCGCCAAGCTCTGCAATCCTACAGTGGAGGACTGGAATGTGCTAAAGAGGGCCAAGTCCTTTAGGATATCCGTTCTTCTTCTTTTTTTGAGGGGGGGGGATGCCCCTCCAAATTGGAACGATATAGATTAGCATCACAGTCTCTTTGCACACATCACATGCTTTCAAAAAATAAAAAAGGCCTTTTCTTGCAAGCAGCTTCCCACTGCACAGTGAGGAAGTCTCCCACTCCAACTTTGCTTTGCTCGCGGTATACAGAGGTATAGGGTGACACTCATCAATCTCTCTCATACCTGTTCCCCTCGTCCAGCTATGATTTTTTTTTTTATCTCTCATTCTTTTCTGAAAAGCAGGTTTCTTCTCTTTCTCTCATCCTTTTTTTTCCCTCCTCTCATGCTTTTTTTTTTTCACTCCTCTCATTCCTTGCCCGTCTACTGTAACCTTTTTTATGTCTATTTCTTTCTTCTACCTTTACTTCTTAGCCCTGCTATATCTGTTTGTTTCTCTGCTTTTTGTGATGTTAACAACTTTTTCTGCCTTGCCTTTCTTTACCGTGTGTGCGTGAGAGAGAGAGAGAGAGAGAGAGGTTTAATGCAATCACTGCAATGGCGCAATGGTTATAGCCAACCCAGACAGCAGAGCAATCCATGCAGTTCGCAGTCTATAGGTGTTGGCCAGACAGTCGACATCTATGTCTGCATGCAGCAAGCAGTGTCCAAAAATACATATATCAAATTTCAATACGATCCTAGGCTACCAGTAGGGCGGCCCGGGTC